GATTACAGGTTCAATCCTAGCACAAGGCACAAGTGCATCAGGAGCTCCAGGGCTTCTGACACCTTCTCTCAGGTGTTGCCTGTGCTGGGGAGCTGGGAGAGGGAGATGACCCAGGGTGTGCCAGAGCCAGCTCCTGCTGACTCCTGAGAGCTGACTGTGCCCTCAGGGAGGTCACACTGGGGTAACTTGAATTGACCCACATTCAGATGCTGGCAGGTAGAACTTGATGCTGGGGGCATTTGCCTTGAGAATTGAAGTGATAGGGAGACAAGTTGGAGATTGCAAAGGTGGGAGGTACTGGAGCCATTATGAAGACTGGGAGATACTGGTAATCTAAGAGACAGCCTCATTTTAACAGACTATTAATTGTCTTCTCAATAACCACGCACTCTTTTTTCCTTAACATCAAAATACTGGTTTTCAGGGAGAAATGTTTATAGCTAAGATACCATATTTTCTGGCCCCCCTTTCAGCTAGAGGTGGTCAATGAGATGGAAGTATAAATTACTGGATAGGCTTTCTGGGAAATCTCCTCAAATGGGGTTAACTTTGTCATGAGGAATATCTTCCTGACTTCTTCCTTTCCCTCTTTTTTCTGACTGAAACAAAGATGTAGTCGCAGCAGCATGAGTATCTGTCTCAGTCCATGACGATGAATGCCAAGGACTAAGGATGATGTGTTAGAAAGACAAAGGAGACAAAGTCCCTGATAACATAACATGATGAAGCTACTGTACCAGACCTTCACCATCCAGTTCAAGACTTCTTTAATTGATCTCTTTCATTTGAGAGAATAAACCCCTAATTTGTCTAAGATACTATTGTCAGTAAAAAGCAGTGAGGAGTACAGTTCCTAAAGGGTACATTCATATTTTATTTCTCATTAGAAAAATGGAATAAAATTTGTTCTAAATTTGTTATATATATATATGCCCCCCCCCTTTTTTAAATGAGAACATGTTTTCCTTATTTACCAGGAAACCAAGTTTATCAAGAGCCAGGGTCATTGTCACAGTGTGAGGCGCCCCATTGTTTAGCAACCTGAATTGGTTCTTCAGCTTTCTGCTGCTGGGTGCTGTGAGGCTGGGTGAGAGAACAAGGAGGTTACACATGTCTCAACGAGTCTAAGCTGACTAGCAGCCCATCTTATCCTGGAAAAAGAGTGGGTCTGCATTTATGCCTTTAGTACCTGGTAGGCAGTTGTGAGGTACACTCTGAATTTGGGGAAAACTGACAGTAAAAAGCTGGGCGTGGTGTAGATGGGCCCAGGGTCTGATCCAGTGAACAGAATTTAGCACAGTGCCCTTAATCCTTGGTCCCAGTTGACCCAACCTAGAAAAATCATGCCCCCAAGCATTTCAGACTCTTTTCCAACAGAGGAGTTCCTACTCATCCTTTAAGATATGGATCCCCTGTCACTCCCTCTGGGAAAGTTCCTGTTCTCTTCCCGTGCTCCTCATCACATGGCTTCAGCTGGTTACACTGGAGAGTAATTATTTGTTCATGTAGCTCTGACTCTCATTAGTCTGGGGCAGGTACAAAGACCAACACAATTGTGCATCTAGCAACCAAGTAACTGAGTTCCACCCAAGGGGAACATATACAAAAGTAATCCCACACCTTTGCACAAACATAGAAGGCACCATTCACACATAATGAACAAGCTGTGAGTAGAAAGGATGTTGCAACCTCAAATGGAAGAGGCTTGCTCTGCCCGAGCCCCTACCTGCTCTTGAGACTGAATGGACAACAGCAAGACCAAATATGACAATAGAACTCTGACCCACAATCTCTGCAGCAACTGGCCTGCAATGGTTGGGACTCAGTCAAATATGCCAGCTTTCCTATTTTTTGTGTCTCTGCTTCCAACTCAGAACCAACCAGAGAAAGTCATATACATCCACAAAACAATCACATAGGATTCCTGCTTCTAGTTAGTCTGCTTCTAGCTTGCCTTGGCCGACAACCTTCAATCAGGGCACACCTGGAGACTCCTCAACACAGATTCCTCTCTGTAGCAAGCTCTGAGTCCGTAAGGTCTGCTTGTTCTCTTTTGGTTGGTCTTCATTCATTTGTGCACTCCCTGCTGCATACAAGGCAGAATGGGTTAAGCACTAGGATGGAAGGAGCCAGAATCCCTGGTATTGTGGAATCACCATACATCCCGTACTGGTAGTGAGAAACACTACCAGTGTGTGTACATATGCAAATGCACACACAAATATCTGCAACTTGTGCCAAATTTGCCCTGGGGCAGCCTGGGCTAGAGGGTACATTTGTACAGGATTAAGAATCAGAGTTTGCTGAGCAGATTCATATAAACTAGTTATCACTCATTTAAACCAGGATTCTTAAGGCACTTGAGCATCTTTCATTTGCATACAATGATCCCTATGCTAATTGTAATAGACCCTGACCTGCTTAGTCTGGGTGGTCTGAGAATGCTTGTAATGCAAAGGAATGAAGCTGTCTTTGTGCACACAAAATTCAGAATTTTCATCCATTTTGAATGGATTCTCCTGCCAGGATAAACAAGCGAATCTCACCAACTCTTTCTTGGGGGTTTCCTTTGCATCTCAATGTCTTTCTGTCCTCCTTTGGATACAGCTTTGGCTACCAGACAGCCCACAATCATAGGGCACCAAATACTTTTGGATGAAGAATGTAAGGGCTATTCATAAATGTCCATATACAACCCATCCTTCTTCTAGTCACCAGAAGTTCAGAGCCCTAGCTTTTGGGAGGTGGTGGCTCCCACTGGCCTTGGTGTCCCTTTGTCATGCCCACAGGTGATGCACAGAATGGACAAACTCCCAGAACTGGCTTCTGGTACCATGGTCTCAGTCATTTGATCTCCTGTGAAATGCTTGGGGCAGGAAGATAGGCCAAGACACAGAACTGTCTTAGGCTTTTGTGTCCTTCATTCTTATAAGCCAGACTCTTGTTTTCGGGACACTTCCATGATGCCTGGTGGAACAGACAACAGCAAGTGGCCCTGGAGATTCAGCAGTCTTCCCTGGCTACCTGTGGGTACTGTCTGGGGAGTATGTCAAAGTACAGTTCCTTGGGACATTCCTGCCCATGTCCCCAGGCCTCTAATATCCCTATACCTGCTTACATGTTCATCCAGCAAACATTACCTATGTGCCTACTACATGTTAGCAAGCTACAAGCTTGACTCTCAAGAAGTTCATAGTCTATGGTCAAGACAAGCATTTGAACAAATGATCATCTAGTGTGATAAGAGCTGTAATAGACGTGTACACACTACCAAGTGAACACAAAAGAGCGACCAGATCACTCAGCTTGGTTGGGGAAGACCTCACAAATATCCAGCAAGGGACAGTTGCCTAAAATCTTGTGGGAACATGGGGTTTCCATTAGCTGGAGATGTGGGGTGGGAGGAACTGTCCTGGCACAGTTTTTAGCTCTCTGCTCTCCAGCCAGCTTTCCTGTAAAGGGCACAGCTCTGCCTTGAATGTCCTTCCCTGTCCTCTTTCAGTGATTCCTATCAGCCACAGGATGAGAGTCAAGAAAAGGCTGGCAATTCTGTGTGGTTGGAGCAGAAGGTGAGGGAAAAGATGGAGAGGATCCAGAGACTGTCAGTTGGGGTTGTTTGGGCAGCATCTGAACTTTATTCCCAGGTCACAGAACACAGCCAAACCAGGGCTGTGAACTCAAATGCCTACAGGGGACAGGCAGGTGATTAAATTAATGAGAGGTTCCAGGTGGGGACTGGGAGACTGGGACTTGCAGGCCCATCCGAAGGTGGAGCCCACTGTTGCCATAGTGGAGTGCAGGCTCCATGTAGGCAAGTTTCCATTAAAAAAAAAAAAAATCTGGGCATGATATTTTTATATGAACTTCCCAAGTTTTAAATGTTAGAAATTATATCAAAACATCATGCTGGCCTAGCAAAAACAAATCTGATGTCCTCTCAGCCCCCAGGCCTCTAGTTTAGCACTTGAGATGCCAAGCTTAAGCAGAGCGCTGACACAGTCAGACTTGTATTTCAGAAAGGTGATGTCCCTACAGATCTCTCCATGATGTTTATGCCTCAGCCTCTGCCAGAAAGAATTTCTTTTCCCTGCCCACTCCACACCCTAGCCTATACCCAAGCAGTGTTTGCACCCTCACTGCCCTCCCAGACCACCCCTGGCACCAGCCCCATCTTGCATGAAGGCCCTAAATGAATGAGCCGTGCTCCAGCCCAACTTACAGAGAAAAGTCTGCATTCAGGACATGAGAGAGCCACATTTATTTCACATGGACAAGCATGATTCTGTCACATGCTGAACATGAAAGCTCACATGAGGCAAGTACCCGTAACAGCAGAATTATGTGCTTTTGTCCACAAGGAGCAGGGAGAGTCACCAAGTGGTTTTCAAAGACAGTCACCCTTCAAGCAGAGCTGAGGCCACAGCCTTAGAAAGTTCTGGTTTATTCCGTCATCAAAGGGTCTGTCTCCTAGAGGTGGCTGGGGGTGCTTCAGCTCTGCATCTCTGGATGCACTGCTGAGGGCAGGAGGGTGAGGATGGTCTCCCATGCCACCACTTGGGGCAGCTCAGGAGAGCTCAGCTCAGAGGGAAGTGCATGACACTCAGAATTAACAAGCTCACGCTGAGGGGGACAGGGACAGGGACAGGGACAGACTGCTGTGTTCATAGCAACAGAACCATCACCATATACAATAGCTATCATAATGGGAAGATCCACTCTTCTTAAAGCAATTTCCCAAGGCAGCTTACAGGCTGAAGGGAAAGCATTTCAAATTGACTGGACCTGCCAGAAGCAGAGCAACTTTGTCTGGACAGACTGAGGAGAGCTACTGGCAGGGACCCCCAGTCTCTTGGCCTTAGCTAGGCTTCCTGGTTCCAGGATGATAGAATCTAAGATGGAGAGGGGGCTGGGGCCTGGCTTTGCTGGGATGAGAGGATAATAGGTTCTAAGAACAAACTTCATGGAAGAGATGAACAGAAGAGCCCTTGCATGTCAGAGGCTTATTCCCACCTGAAGTCCTGCCCAACAGTTTCATAAAACTTAATGTTATAAGGTCTGTAAAATTCCCGAAGCTGGTCTATCACCTCAGGATCAATCTGTACATGAGTTCTGCCCTTTGATTTTCCCAGACATCGAGGTAGGAGGCTCGATTCTGTTTTTTTTAAGCAAGGGAACCCTTTGGTCTTGTTGAAGTAGAAGTGCTTGTCCGTAATGAACCTCTTAATGCCAAGGAAGTCCTGGACCCGCCCCATCTCACCAGCGGGGTCAGTGATAAGCCGCTCGCCACTGACAAAGTGGATCTGAGCCAGGGGGAAGTACTGCAGCCAGCTCTCCAGGTGCAGCACATACAGGCCGATGCGGATGGCGTTCCATGACACGTCCACCAGGCCTAGTGTGCGGTTCCGGAAGGACAGGCCCTCGAAGGTGGGGATGTCGGGCTTCTTGGACAGCGTCTGGGTGTAATCCGAGATGGCGCGGGTTACAGGGTTCCGCACCACCACAATCAGCTTGGTGTCTCGGGACATGTTGAAGATCCGACGAGGGGCCTCTTGAGTGACGAAATAGCTGGGGGTCTTCTCCAGTGTGATCTGGCTCTCCAGGGTTCTGGGCATCAGGCTCCTGCAGGCAGAAGCAGCACATCATCAGATAGCACCCCCCTGGGGGCCCTGGGGTCATTTCCTTGCACCCAGCTCCCTAGTTGAGCCCCGCTCCTCTCCTCTGAGACATCTGAGCCTCACCTACTCTCACCTGGTGAGGAACCCACTTTATCTCTGGTTGATTTTATTTTTTAGTCTTTAAAAGGTTTGCTTTAAGACAGGAAATGTCCATCAGTATGAGTTAAATAAATGATGGAATATGCAATTAGTAGAGTTAGGTAGATCTGACTGTACTAACATGGAATGATTTCCAAGATAAAGCATTAAATGAAAAAAGGCAAGACACAGCACCTTCATCTCAGGCAGGGTACCAAGAAACTGATAAAGTCAATTCTGGGGAATAGGTTGGAACAGAGTGAGGAGGTAAGGGAGGGATGAGAAAGACTTTTTATTTTATAATCTTTTATGCTGCTAGAAATTGTTAATGCAGTTATTACATATTCAAGAGAGAAGGAAGGCACTGAATATTCTTCTGGCAAAAGAGACTTATTCAAATATATTAGAAAATCTTTTTTGGGGAAAGCTTGCTATATAGGAATAACAAGTGCTTTAGAAATCAGTTCTTTTATTTATTTTTATATCATGTTTATTCTATTACAGTTGTGTCAATTATTCCCCCTTTGCCCTCCTTCACCCATCCCACCCCAACCCCCCACTCCCACAGTCAATTCCCACTCTGTTGTCCATGTCCATGGGCCATTCATACATGTTCTTTGTCTAGTCCCTTCCCCTTCTTTCCACCATTGTCCTCCTTCCCTATCCCCTCTGGTCACTTTCAGTCTGTTCCATGTTTCCATGCCTGTGGTTTATTTTGTTCATTAGTTTATTTTGTTGAATAGAGTCCACTTATAGGTAAGATCATATGGCATTTGTCTTTCACCAACTGGCTTATTTCACTTAGCATAATATTCTCCAGTTCCATCCATTTTGTTGCAAAAGGTAGGAGTTTTCTTTCCTTCTTTCTTTCTCTCTCTCTTTCTTTCTTTTCTTTCTTTAAATGCAGATTGATTTTTATTTCTTTTAAGTGTCAAAATCCATTATAAAAGATTAAAAAATTTAAATCCATTATAAAGTCTTAACAATTAAAACATGATACGAGCACAGAAATAATCAAGTAGATCAGTGAAATATAATGAGCATTCTAGAAACAAATGGATATATCTGTCTAACAATGTAATATATGATTAAATAGATATTTCAAATTGATGGGGAAATAAGGCTTATTCAACAAATAAGGTGCATGAACCACTATTATTTGAAATAAAACAAATAGAGAGCCCTATTTCACATATTATACAAAAAATATTCAGGTAAGTTAAAAATCAATATGTAAAATCTAAGGAGTTTTAGGAGAAAATACAAACTAATATTTTTCTTACCCTGAAGTAAAATATTCAAACCCAGAAGCTATAAAGTAAAATATTGACAATATGACTATATTAAACATTTAAGACTACATAGTAATAAACATATAAAAAAAGTTAAAGGACAAATACTAGAATAGGAAAGTATTTGCAACACATCTATAAAAGGGTTAATAGTTCCCTTTTTAGGGAAAAAATTCTACAAACATTTAATTAAAAGATGGATAAAGAATACCAAAAAGTCATTTAAAGCTTTTTAAAAATAATAGAAAGTCAAGAAACACACAAAAACAGGTTTAGTTTCAACAAATAATAAAGGAATAATTAAAATAACATATCATTGTCACAATCAGATTAATAAGTATTAAAAATCTTGGTAATATCAAGTATTGGTGACTGTGAAAGGAACTGGGTATTCAAAGAAACTTTTTCTTCATCTTCTTAAAGCAGTCCCTTTAGCATATCTTGCAGTGCTGGTTTGGTGGAGGTATATTCTTTTAGCCTTCTTTTGTCTGGGAAACCCTTTATTTCCCCTTCTATTTTAATTGAGAGCCTTGCTGGGTAGAGCAGTCTTGCTTGCAGGCCTTTTCTTTTCATGACTTGGAGTATTTCTTGCCATTCCCTTCTGGCTTGTAGTGTTTCTGTTGAGAAGTCAGCTGCTAGCCATACTGGGGCTCCCTTATATATTACTACCTCTCTCTCCCTTGCTGCCTTTAGGATTCTCTGTTTGCCTTTGTTATTTTCCATTTTAATGATGATGTGTCTTGGAGTGGGCCTCATTTGGTTCCTCTTGAATGGGACCCTCTGTGCTTCCTGGACTTGTGTGACCTTTTCTCTCCTCGAATTAGGGAAGTTTCCCATCATTAATTTTTCATACAGGTTCTCTATCCCTTCCTTGTCCTCTTCCCCTTCTGGTATCCCTATTACATGGATATTATTATGTTTCAGGTTATCCTGCATTTTTCTAAATGCCTCTTCATTCTTTTTGAGTCTTTTTTCCATTTTTTTGCTCCTTCTGGGAGCTTTTTTCTACCTTATCCTTTAGCTTGCTGATTCAATCCTCTGCTTCATCTAGCCTGCTTTTGATTCCTTCTACTGTGTTCTTCAATTCAGAAATGGTATTCATTTCCTCTTGTCTCTTATTGATAGTTTCTATGTCCTTTTTCATGCTGATAGAGTTGCACTAAGTTCCTCGTAGTTTCCCTGAAGTTTTTTGTAATTCTCTCTGAGCTCACTGAGCTCATTGAGCTTCCTTAGAACCATTGTTTGGAACTCAGTATCTGATAGTTTACTTGCCTCTCTTTCATTTAGTTCTCTTTCTGGGGATTCTTCCTTTCCCTTTGATTGGGGGGTGTTTCTTTGTCTTCTGATTATTTGAGACTCTTCCTTTTTGCTTCTGCTTCTTAAATTGGTCTGTCTTGATTTCCTGACTTTGTGGTGTGAACTTCTATGGTAGGAGACTGCTGTCTTTTCCTTCTGGATCTGCCTCTGATGATGTCGGATGTTGACCCTGTCTGACCTTAGGCTTCCACGAATCTACTTTCTGTGGCTGTCTCCTTCAGCTGTTAATCTTAGAAATGAGTTCTAACTACTATGCTGTACACCTGAAACTAATATACAATAATACTGAATGTCAACTGTAATTGAAAAAAATAAATAAAACAATCCCTTATTACTGAATTAACTGAGAATAAAACAGAGATTCTCAGCACGTTCACCCCACAAGAGCAAGGAAAAAGAAAAAAGAGAGTCCCAGTGTCTTTTTCTGCTGAAATACATCCTCGGGAAAGCACAGAAGGACAAGCCAGTGGGACCTTGGGCAGAAGTACTGCAACCTCTCACTCCCTCACTTTTTAATTTCCTGGCTCTACTTGAGATTCTCAGGGATGACGGTGGAAGCTCCTTCACAGATGTGTCTCTTTCAGACCCTGATGGAGAGGAACATCCCTCGCTCTCAGTCATTAGTTCTTTCTGAAGGTCATGTTTTACCTTAAACTAGTTTTTTTAATGCTGGCTAGACATTAGACCACTGGAGGAATTTTAAAAATACAGATGTGTGGGCCCCATCCAGGACCAGGGGATTAAAACAATTTGGGGCTGGGTATTTTTTTAAAGTTCCTCAGATCATCCCAATTGAAGACAGAGTTGAGAACCACCAACAGAGTATTCTCACTCCTTACACTATGATTGGTCAACCCCAAAGCATTCATCTGCACCCTCTGGAATACAGACTCCTAGTTTCTAGTCTTCTTCACCCCAGGTCCTATTATCCCTATACAACAACCTGGCTTCACAGTTCTTTGACCAAATATCTCCATTTTTTCTCCTCTTTTAGCAACTCTTACTCCTGGCTGTACCTTGGGTCTTGTCATTGGAATTGCCCTAATTCTGAAATGGTTCACTCTGAAATTCTACTCTAGGACTATGTAGTGGGTTGAATGGTAACCCCTCTAAAAAATGTATCTACCCAGAACCTATCAATGTGACCTTATTTGGAAAGAGTCTTTGAAGATGTAAATTAAGGATCTTGAGGTGATTACATCCTGGATTAGAATGGCCCCAAAGTCCAGTTGAGGAATATGCTTATAAGACAACAGAAGGGGAGAAGAAACACACTTAGAAGAAGGTGATTGAAGACAAAGGCAGGATGTGGAGTGATATCTACAAGCCAAAAAATGCCAAGGAAATCAATAAAGACTGCAACCCTATTTCTTTATATATTTACCACAGTCTGAAACTCATTATACTTGACCTTCAAATTCATCTGTGATCCTCTTGATTTCACTTTCTTCCATATCTTCTCTGGACCAAATGAACAGTCATTTCAGTTTCTTCTTCCTGTTCCTGTTCTTCCTCTTCATCATCATTGTTACCATCATCACCATCATTATCAATTTCCTTATATTACTAGCTCTTCCCGTCCCTAATAATGCATCTTCTCAACCTTTCATCATTTCTAATTTTGTCTCAGGGTTGCCAAACAGCAGAAAAGAATATTGCTGACCCTGGCAACTTGATCCTTCTTATATTTATTAATTCTATCTTCAACTGAGCCTTAACACTGCTCATTAATCAGGTTTTTTTTTTACAGGCCCCTTAATATTTTCCATAGTACGTGTACCCAATTCTACCATAAGCTCCCAGCTCTACTCCTGCCACCCACCCTTAATAAACAATTAGTCTCCCACTACACTAGAAAGACAAAAGCTGTTATACCTTCAACTTTTCCTCCTTCATCCTGAAACTGACTGTTATCTGTACCCATCCTGCGGCCCTCTCACTGGTCTCAGAGGAAAAGGTGGGCAGGGGCTCACCTGTCCACCTGTGTGTTCTCAGATCTCTTTCTCTACTGCCTTCTCCGCAAACCTGCCCATATTGTCTTGGACTTTCAAATTCACTGTGAAACTGATAGGCTGATATGACTGATATTTTGCTTTCAGGCTCAATGTTTATAATGAACCCTTGTGATTGGAATAGGCCTTTTTTTTTTTTTTTTTCAATTGGATGCCATTATTAGTGAACAATCACAATGTACTAGAATAGAATTCTTTGGCTAGCTTTTCTTAGAAATCTGGCTATCTTAGATTATGACCTTGGC